CTAGAGTTTCATATGCTGCTTCATTTTCTTCGAGTTGATCTTTTAAATTCGTTTCTAGGTCAGTTTCTCCTAAAGATCTAGACATACAGAATTCCTGCTAATAATTCTGCAAAACAAGGGTTTTCCCTGCAGGTCCTTTTTTCCACGCTAGATTTATATCAATCAATTTTAGTTAAATTAGGAAAAGTATTTACACTGTAGGCTAGATTCTGCCATATCCCCATTTAATATATAAAGAGAAATAAAAACAGTGGTCGGGAGGCATCAGATTCAAAAAGTGATCAACCTCTAATTAGTGGGGCAGCAAAAAACTTGAATTTGGGATTCGAAGCCTGTCATCCTGTCCCTTTCACTATCCAAAGTCCTTCAAGTCTCTTCCTTTAGGGCTACTCAGCTACTCAATTTCTTTTCCCTCAAGTTCCAGCAAAATTCTGCTTCCATGCCCCTTCAGCAGTCTCTTGATGCTGCGTTCTGCACCTACCGCATGAACCACAGGCTGCCTTTCTGCCAGACTCCAGCTCCTCCTCCGGAGGCAGGGAGCCATGGGAGGGACACAGTATAAACAGGCCAAGTCCCTGCCCCTCTGGGAGCTTAATCCCAGAGCGTCTAGTATTGTCTGGGCTTGAAGCCGAGCATGACTTGTACTGCAAAGAGGTACAAAGTTCTGAGAGACGCCTTGAAAGTCTGTGCACCCCTTTACGGCACAGAGGTTTCCTAAGGAGCTCAGAAAGCATCGATATTTTTTAAGAAGTGGATCTTCCACAAAATGCAATTTTAGTTTTGTTTTGAGTATAAGAAAGAGAGATCCTATCTGTAAAAGAAAGAGAAGTTGGGGGTGTCCCAAACTGTGTTGACTCTCTAGTTCAATGTTGAATTTTAGGACTGAGGAAACGGGCTCCAGTGGAGCAACTGGTATTCTCAAGGTCACAAGCGAGCAGCTAGTAGTATGGAAGTACGTCCCGCCCCTGGTTCGTGGTCAGGTCTCAAGAATGCGCGCTCCCTGCTAGTGTTTATCCCGCAGCCACGCCTGCTCCCAATCCCCAGATCAGTGGGGGCAACTTGACACCTGCTTGAGTGGCCGAGCCTGGAACCCGGCTGCCCTCCGCCAACCTCGAGGACGCGTGGGAGGAGTGCTGGCCGGGCACTCAGGTCCCAGTCCCCAAACTCCGGGCAGAGTCCGCCAAACAACAGAACAGGCCGGGCCCGGCCCCGCCCCACCGCGCCGCAGCCGCACGTGCGGAGCCTCGTGCAATCGTGCCGGCCCCGCCCCCTCGCCCCATTGGCTGCCACGCGCCTTTCCCTCGCTGCCCCGCCCCTCGCGGTTCCACTAGGCTGCCGCTCCACGTGACCCTCTGGGCAGGGCCGTGGCGCCCAGTCCGGCCTCCCTCCGGGGTGGCTTCTCAGGGAAGAAGGAAAAAGAGGCTGCCTTGGACTGGA